CATCGCTCCCTTGGGGATGCTGAGGCCTGCCTGAGGTGGGCTCTGCCTCTGAGCCTGCGCCTGGCAGAGGAGCAGCAAGCGGGGCTGGGGCTTTGCAGGTGATTCACCGCCTGCCCATGCCCAACGTGGGGGACGAGCTGCACCACTCGGGCTGGAACACCTGCAGCAGCTGCTTCGGGGATGCCACCAAGAAGCGCAACCGCTTGATCCTGCCCAGCTTCATCTCCTCCCGCATCTACGTGGTGGACGTGGGAACCGACCCGCGAGCTCCCAGCCTTTTCAAGGTACCTTCGGTGCACAGGAAGGGCTGGGATCAGTGGGGACAGCTTGGCAAAGAGGCTTCTGGGGTACCCCCAAGAGCTTTGCAAGACCCCTGTGTGTGGATGGGAAGGCCGTGGGAGGTGTTTGTTCTGCTGCTGGTCTGCAAATACTGAGTTCTCCATCCAGCCCCGTGCAGGAGGGGACCAGGGCAGGCCTGGGACAGCCCAGGCCGAGGACTTGATGGTGCCTGTGAACCCCCCCAGGTTGTCAACCCAGAGGACGTGTTCTGGAAGTGCAGCCTGGGCTACCCCCACACCTCCCACTGCCTGGGCAGTGGGGAGATCATGATCAGCGCCCTGGGAGACCCGGCCGGCAGCGGGAAAGGTACCTCAGGCCCCCAGGGAGAGGGTCTGGACAAGGAGGAACCATCCCTGCATCCAGAGCTGTCCTGGAGGCTGCACCCAGGTCCCCCAGCCCATTGGGCAGGGGGTTGATGTGTCTGTTGTTACTGGTTTTATAAGGTGGAAGCTGCTGATCTGGATGGTTTCCTCACTGCCCATGGGCTTTTGTTTTCACACCAGGTGGCTTTATTCTGCTGGATGGAGAGACCTTTGAGATCAAGGGGAACTGGGAGAAAGGGGACAAGATCCCCTCAATGGGTTATGACTTCTGGTACCAGCCACGCCACAACGTCCTGATCAGCACTGAATGGGGAATCCCCAAATGCCTGGGGTATGGATTTGACCCAACTGATCTGAAGAAAGGTGAGAAAAGAGTTGTTTAAAAACCCCGGGAGAGAGATGCTACAAAAAAGGCCAGATTTCAGCCCTGTTCTGCCAGTTGGAAGGCAACGGGCAGACCCAACCCCGCTACCCTTTAGATGCCAGCACCAGAAGTTCAACCCAAGGCAGTCCATAAATGCCGCTGTTGAGCTGTACATGGGGTTGGAATTCAGCTGTAGGGATGAAAGGTGAAGCTCCATCTCAGGCCAAGGCTCCCTGCCCTTGCCAGCGCTGTCCTAGCGAGATGGTCCCTGTTGGATGCTGGGCATCTTCCCGTGGCTTTTGCCAATGTCCAAAGCAACCAGTGCAAAGAGCAGGGGGCATCTCTGCAGGGAACTGAAGGGGCTGAGGCTCACCTGAACCTGCAGCAGACCTGCTCGAGGCGCTGACCTGGCAGCATCCCCTGTGCCCCCCTCCCAGGGCGCTACGGACGCCACCTCAACGTGTGGGACTGGACCACTCGCACCTACATCCAGGCCATCGACGTGGGTGAGGATGCGGCGCCGCTGGAGATCCGCTTCCTGCACAACCCCGATGCTGCCGAGGGCTACGTGGGCTGCACCATCAGCAGCGCCATCCACCGCTTCTACAAGACCAAGGTGCTCCCTGGGGACACCACAGGGTTAGAGGAACGGGGTAGATGGAGCTGCAGAACTGCAGCATCCCACCTCCTGCATTCCCCATCGTCCTCTCCCCCAGCTCCAGTCCCCACTGAGGCACACACTGCCTCCCCGTGCACCCAGACCAGGGGCTGGCCCAGGGTAGTCTCACCAGAGGACTTGTATTGAGTGGCTGCAGCTTTGGCTGAGATGATTTGATTGAAAGGAGATTCATTTCTACCTTGGTTGTGGATTTATGACAGCCCAAGCAATGTTGTTCTTGGTGTCTGTTGTGGTGCGTAATGACGAGCTGGGTGAAGAGAGAGGATTCTCTTTCACCAAACCAGCCAGTCTCACTGGGAAATGAGACAAGGTTTTGGCCCTGTCAAAGCCCCTCCTGATGCTGCAGAACCCATGGCTCTGCAGAGGCAGGGATGGCTCCAAAGCAGCTCTACAGCCCTGGAGAGTAGAGGCTGTGGACACATGCAGGCAAAATCCACCCCAGGGTCGGGTCTTATCCTGCCTCTGCCACGCACGCTGAGCCCCCGGGGCCGTGCTCTGTCCCACACCCCCCGCAGCAAGGAGACTGGGCGGCCGAGAAGGTGATCCAAGTCCCCAGCAAAAAGGTGGAGGGATGGCTCCTCCCGGACATGCCAGGTCAGTGCATCCCGGGCTGGGTGCCGCGGTGCTCCCCGGCTCCCCGGGGCACTGCCGGGGCTGCCGCCTGCTTGTGCAGCTCTCTTGTACCCTCCCCAAGGCTTCATCACCGACATCCTCATCTCGCTGGACGACAGGTTCCTGTATTTCAGCAACTGGCTGCACGGGGACATCCGCCAGTACGACATCTCCAACACCCGCAAGCCCAGGCTGGTGGGGCAGGTGAGGCAGCAGCAGGCTCCTGGTCGCATCCCTCTGCCTGCTGGGGACAGTTGGGATCAGTCCTTCCTCGCTGCCTTGGCCACCCAGACCTTGGCTCTCTCGCAGGTCTTTTTGGGTGGCAGCATCACCAAGGGCGGACCCGTGACCGTGCGCAGGGATGAAGAGCTGCAGAGCCAGCCAGACCCGTTTGTCATCCAGGTGAGCTCGGCCATGTCCCCACGCTCCCAGCCTGGGCAGCGATGGTGAGGCTGGGGAGCGGGTCCTTGTGCATCCCATGGGATGGCCGCGGGAGCCTGGGGGAGGCGGGAACATCCCTTTGGCCTGCACCATCCAGCAGCTCATCTGTCTGCTCCCAGGGCAAGAGGGTGCAGGGGGGACCGCAGATGATCCAGCTCAGCTTGGACGGGCAGAGGCTCTACGTCACCACGTCCCTGTACAGCGCCTGGGACAGGCAGTTCTACCCCGACCTCATTGAGTAAGAAAACCCTGATGCACACGGGTGATTGTCCGAGCTATGGGGGGACACAGGGGCAGGTCCCCCCCCGCGCAGCTCCCCCCAGCCTCCTGCTCTCACGCTGTGCAGGGATGGCTCCGTGATGCTGCAGCTGGACGTGGACACAGAGCGCGGCGGCCTCACGGTCAACCGGAGCTTCCTGGTGGATTTTGGGAAGGAGCCCGACGGGCCCTGCCTGGCGCACGAGGTCCGGTACCCGGGTGGGGACTGCACCTCTGATATCTGGGTTTAGGCACCGCTGCGCATCCGGACACACGGAGCTCCGGTGGCTCCCCTCTGGTGACCGTGAAATAAAGCAAGCTCTGACCGCAGCGTTGTGCCTCGAGTCCGGTGTGACCTGGAACCAGAACATGAGCCTGGCACCTGCACACAGTGCACACACCCCCTGCGTACGTGCCCATGCTGCATGCACAAACACCCTGCATACGTGCCCATGCTGCGTGCACAAACACCCTGCATACGTGCCCATGCTGCGTGCACAAACCCGCTGCATACTTGCCCATGCTGCGTGCACAAACCCCCTGCATATGTGCCCATGCTGCGTGCACAAACACCCTGCATACGTGCCCATGCTGCATGCACACATGTTGCATGCTACATATGCGCGCTACGTGCTACATGTGTATATACTGTATGGTATGAGTACATACTGCATGCCACGAGTACATACTGCATGCTACATGTATGTGCTACGTGCTACATTTGTACACTGCATGCTACATATGTGCACTGCATGCTACATGTGTACATACTGCATGCTACATGTGTACACGGCATGCTACATGTGTACATAGTGCATGCTACGTGTGCATACTGCATGCTACATGTGTGCACTGCATGCTACATGTATACATACGGCTTGCTACATGTGTGCATACTGCATGCTATATATGTGCACTGCATGCTACATGTGTACATACTGCATGCTACATGTGTACATACTGCATGCTACATGTGTGCACTGCATGCTACATGTGTACATACTGCTTGCTACATGTGTGCATACTGCATGCTGTATATGCGCACTGCATGCTACATGTGTGCACTGCATGCTACATGTGTACATATGGCTTGCTACATGTGTGCATACTGCATGCTACATGTGTACATACTGCTTGCTACATGTGTGCATACTGCATGCTGTATATGTGCACTGCATGCTACATGTGTGCACTGCATGCTACATGTGTGCATACTGCATGCTACATGTGTACATACTGCTTGCTACATGTGTACACTGCATGCTACATGTGTACATACTGCTTGCTACATGTGTACACTGCATGCTACATGTGTGCATACTGCATGCTGTATATGTGCACTGCATGCTACATGTGTGCACTGCATGCTACATGTGTACATACTGCATGCTACATGTGTACACTGCATGCTACATGTGTACATACTGCATGCTACATGTGTACATACTGCATGCTACATGTGTACATACTGCATACTACATGTGTACACTGCATGCTACGTGTACATACTGCATGCTATGTGTGCATACTGCCTGCTATATATGTGCACTGCATGCTACATGTGTGCATATTGCATGCTACATGTGTACATACTGCATGCTACATGTGTACACTGCATGCTACGTGTGCATACTGCCTGCTATATATGTGCACTGCATGCTACATGTGTACATACTGCCTGCTATATATGTACACTGCATGCTACATGTGTGCACTGCATGCTTCATGTGTACACTGCACGCCACACGCGCGCACCCTACACGCACACCCGCACGCAGCACGCACAGCGTGTGCACGCACAGCGGCCCGTCTACGCTCGCGCTGCCTCCTCCCGGCCCACCAATCAGAACTCTGTTACTAGGCAGACTTCATCTCGTTCTCAGCCACTCAGGAGCCCGACCCCGCTTGTATCCGGGTAGGAAAGCCAGAGCAGCCAATCGCATCAAAGGAGAGCGCAGTATCCGGGCAGATCTGCGGTGCCGCAGCCAATCAGAAAAAAGCCCCCCCCTTCGCGGGCGCGTCCCGCCGGGGCTCCGCACTTCGGGTTCCTGTTGCGCGCGGGGCAGCGGCACGTGGCGGGGAGCGGCAGCAGCGGGCGGCCCGCAGGTGGGTGCGGGATGGGGGGGTGCGGGGATGGCCCCGACCCCCCCCCCCCTCCCCACCCCGCACGGACCCGGGCATCGCCGCCTCCCTCCGCCCCCTTGTGCCCAGGTCCGCGGGGTCCTCTCACCCCCAGCACCCCCGTCCCGAGACTCGCACCCATGGGGCTGACACGTTCACACCCCCCCACCCCACACTGCCCAGCCTGGGGCACTCCAGCCCTGCTGGTGTCCCCCCCCCTTCTCCACTCCCGCGTGTGCTGGGACAGGGCTGGTCTCCGGTGCCCCCCCCCCCCAGCATCCGGGAGCAGGGTACCCAGAGCCGGGCACAGCCTCTGCGGCTGGAGGCACCCCGGTCCGTGTCCGTTGGTGGCGGGCGCTTGGGTGATGGAGCTCGGCCTGCAGAGCCTGGGCACGTCCGCAGCGGGATGGAGGGGGCTGCGCTGAGCAGCCGAGCCTGGCCCAGGGCAGGCAGCCGGGGTTCAGCCTGCTGCGGGCTCGGTTAACTCCAAAGGGATTCTGTTCGCGGTGTTGTCAGTGGATGCCTGGTTCTCACTCCCCAGCAGGAGCCACATGTCATGGCTGACGAGGAGCAGGGCGCCCGAGCTGCCAGAAAGGGAAGTTTGTCACCCAGCAGCTCCCGGGGCAGCACGACGGAGTCAAGCACCCTGCTGCAGGAGCTGAAGAGCACCATCTCGTAAGGGCAGCGCTTGCTTCTCCCTGCGCAGCTCTTCCCGTCAAGCTCAGTGTTACCAAATGTGGGTTCATTTAATAGGGTTGATTAATTGGCAGCCCCGGGGTACCAAAGGGATGAGCGTGGTGGTGTCTTGGAGCATTGGCACTGCAGAGGGGCATGGACCCGTGCTAAGCGCTGAACGCAGAGCACAGCCCTGTGCTGCGCTGCCTCTTTGGGTGCAGAATCAGTTCAGAGCCCCGCAGTAGCACACGCAGGTCTGCAATGACCCCGTGGGATGCGGGTTTATGCCCGCTCTGCCCTCCCTGGGGTTAGGGTAGAGCACACAGCTCTAGAGTGGGGTTGTGGATGCACAGGGAAGGCCAGAGCACGGGGCTGTGCTCACCCATGGGTGCAGGCAGCTTTGAGTCCTGTGCTCCAGTGTCCCCAGTGACTGCTGCGCGGTCTGGAAGGGCCTGGGCATGGTGGAACCAGCCTTGGGAACCCTAAGCAGCGGCCGCAGTGGGTTGAGGAGCACCTGGGTTCTGCCGGGTGTTCCTGCTCTGCCCTAACCCCTTTTGTCTCTGTCCCACACAGCAAAGCCGTGCAGAACAAAGTGGACTCCATCCTGGTGAGTGCCTCCGTGGCACATCGCGCTGAGGGTGAGGGAATGACGCGCCTCCACCGCGCTCTGCTCGCTAAGCTGAACCCTGGGGTCTGCCGGAGCCTGTTTCCCATCGGGTCAGGGTCTGGCTGCCCTGGTTAGCCCCGAGAGCCCCTCATCACCCTGCCTGGGGGGTGGCACCCGCTGCCCCAGCCCTGTGTGGAAAAAAACCCTTCCTGTGACTTTGGTTGCCCGGGTCCCTCGCATGCAGCCATGCTCATGCTGACAGAGGTGCTCTGCTTTCCATGCCCCATCAGTTAGGGCTGTTATCCTTGTTCCTTGCTTTGGATCCTTAACCTTTCCTTGTCTCTGGTCCGTTCTCCCTGCGGATCCTTCGCCTGTAGCAAGATGTCCAGAAGTTCTCAGACAATGACAAGCTCTATCTCTACCTCCAGCTGCCGACGGGACCGAGCCTGGGGGAGAAGAGGTGGGTGCTGGAGCGAGCTGGGGCCGTGGCCAGGAGAGCAGGGGCTGTCGGGATGATGGTGGGAGATAGAGAATCACAGAACGGTTTGGGTTGGAAAGGACCTGAAGATCATCCAGTTCCAGCCCCCCTGCCATGGGCAGGGACACCTCACACTAAACCAGGGCACCCAAGGCTCTGTCCATCCTGGCCTTGAGCACTGCGAGGGATGGAGCATTCACAAGGGAGATGGAGATCAAACGGGATGGGGGGGAGGCTGCTTCATGTCCTGCTTCTGTGTTAATGGCTTGTCCTGGGCTCCCATGGGAGCAGCAGCAGCCTGGACCTGAGCTCGCTGAGCACGGCTGAGTACACGCACGCCTGCAACTGGATCCGGAATCACCTGGAGGAGCACACGGACACCTGCCTGCCCAAGCAGGACGTCTACGATGCCTACAAGTGAGCTTGGGAGGGCAGCGAGTGCCTTGGGGTTGTTTGAACCCTGGGGTCCTGGGAGGACCCACATCCGCGGGGGGGGTGTGGGGTGGTGCAGGCAGAGGGGTGCTGGCGTTAACCCTTGGCTCTCCCGTGCAGGCGGTACTGCGAGAACCTCTGCTGCCGCCCGCTGAGCGCCGCCAACTTCGGCAAGATCATCCGGGAGATCTTCCCAAACATCAAGGCCCGGCGGCTGGGGGGCCGGGGGCAGTCCAAATATCCTTGCCTGTGCCCGGCTTGGGCTGGTGGCGGCCCCCCTGTAAAGGTCTCTGTATGAGGGGGCAGCTTCCGAAGAGGGGCTGGTGCCCGGGCTTCCATCTCAATCAGCTGAGGGGGTTGCCCCATCCTTGCCCCTTGCGCTTAGGGCAGCCTGCGGGGAGCTGATGGTGGGCAGGGAGCGCACCACGAAGGGGGCATCACAGCTTGGGGCCGGGTGCTCTCGCGCCTCCGGCACAAGCCCATCGTGAGCCCCGCAGCCGTAACCTCTCGAGCTGTGACCGTCGCAGGTTGCGGCCGCGTTTGTGTGACAGCAAAAGACCTTAACGCCGCCAAACGTACTGCTACAGCGGGGTCCGGAGGAAGACGGTGGTCAGCCTGCCACCCCTGCCCAGCCTGGACCTCAAAGTGACAGAGACCGTAAGTCCTCTGCTGCCTCCGTGGCTTGAGTTTCGCCAACCTGCTTTTGGTGGGGTAATGAAGCTCCTTGCCTGTTGGAGCCCGTTGAAATGGAGGGGTGCAGGGATGCCTCTGTCCCGTGAGCCTTCCAAAAGGGAGCTCCCAAGGATCTACGGGCTTGTGACGTGTTCACATCCGAGCATCCTGTCCCGTGCTGCGGGGGCTCACGGCTTGTCCCCGTCCCCCCTACCCTGCAGCAGTCGGAGCTGACGGATCTGGTGCAGTCCTACAACATCGAGGTGATGGAGGCGGCCTGCGCCCTGACCTGCGACTGGGCCGAGAAGATCCTCAAGCGCTCCTTCAACAACATCGTGGAGGTGGCGCAGTTCCTCATCCAGCAGCACATCATCAGCTCCCGCTCGGCCCACGCCGACCTGGTCATGGCCATGGTGGTCTCAGGTGTGTGCAGGGGAGTCCTGGGCTCGCTCCATCCCCCTCCACGTTGGGCTCACTCTGACCCCATCGGGGCGCAGAGGGTTTGGGAGCTGGGAGTCCCCTTCCAGCCTCCCGTGGTGGGGCTGAGCTGCTGCCAACCATCGCCCGTGGGGTGGTTGAGGGGCCCAGGGCCATGTCCCGCTTCCATCCCCTTCTGTGCACGCACAGAGAGCACGGAGAAGATCCCCCGTGAGAGCCGGGCCCCATCGGCAGCCAGGAAGAGCAGCGCGGACACCTCCGAGAGCGGTGACAGGAGCCAGGGGCAGGTGGGACCGCACTGGGGGGCCGGACCCCCGGGTTCCCTGCTCCTCTCGGCTCCCCCCCCCCCCCAGCAGCTCCTCTGCCCGCAGGTCAAGAAGGAGAGCGGCCCCAAGGCTCCCGCTGCGCCCCGGCCGGACAAGAAGAAGCCCCCGGAGCCCCCCAAGGCGGCCCCCAGCCCCCAGGTGAACGCCTTGGTCGCCCGCCTGCCCCTGCTCCTGCCCCGCATCCCCTCGGGGGAGCGCCCCACGGCGCCGGGGGCCGCCGCCGCCCGCTCCTCCCCTCCCGTCCTGGCGCCCAAGCTGACGGCGGCCCCGCTGGGGGGGGGCACGGTGAAGGTGGCGCTGCCGCTGCCGGTGAGCGCGGCCTCCCCGGCGCTGCCGCTGGGGCTGCGGAGCCCGCAGGCGGCGGTGCCGGTGCTCAACGTCCTCCTGCCCGGCGTCAGCGTCCCCGCGGCGGAGAGCCCCGCCAAGCCGCGGAGCGCGGGGCCCGGCCCTCGGGACTCGCCGCACCCCAAGGCCGCCAAGAGGCTCCCGGAGCCCCCCGGCGACCCCGTCCCGCAGAAGCGGCGCCCCGGGCGGCCGCGGAAGAGGCCGGAGGACCGGGGGGAGGCGGCGGCGGCGGAGCCCCGAGGAGGCGCGGACCGAGGGGCCGGGGCTTCCACGCCCGCCCAAGCCGGCAGAACCGGGGCTGCCGACGGCCCAGAGCGGGCACCGGAGGCGCAGCGGAGCCCGGGCGATGCCGGGGGGGAGCCCGCGGCGGGGACCCCTCCCGAGGCCGCCCCGTCCCCGCTCTCGGGCTCCCCGGGGCTGTGCGCGCACCCCGGCTCTTAGCGCCGTGCCCGTGCCCTGCAGCCGCCATTAAAGCCCGAGCTCTCCCCGACGGCTCCTTTGTGCTCTCTGTGGGGGTCGGGGGGGGGGGTGCGGGGCCGCCGATCCCGGCTCCCGCAGCAGCGCGGTTTTAACGTTAAAACCGGCGGTTTTGGGCAACCGAGGCCCCGTCCACGCCTCCGCCTCCCGCGCGGGTGCCGCCGAGCCGGCAGGGGGCGCTCCCGCGGCCAGGCCCGCCCGGCCCCTCTGCCCCCTCCGGCGGCGTCGCGGGCAGCCCGGGCCTGCGCGTTCCCCGCCGGGTGAGCACCGGCACCGGGGAGAGCTCCGGGGCTCCCCCCGCGCCTCCTCCCCGTGCCCCCGGCGGCAGCAGCAGCAGCGTCACCCGTGTGGCCGGCGGGAGGGACGGGCCTGCTGGAGCCGGGCTGAGGCCGTCAGGCTCCGGTGCAGGCCCTCGCCGCTCACTGGGCCGGGCCCGTGCCGCTTCCCCCTCCCCTCCACACACCCCGGGCTCGCCGGTACCGGCGGCCGCGGCTCTGCGGGCCGGGAGCTCCTCTTCCGCCCGTGCTCCCCCAGCCGCCGCCGATCGCCCCCGCGGAGCTGCTGCCCAGGATGAGCCGCCCGCGCTGCCCCGGCTCCCGGCGTCCCAGAGCGGAGACGTGGCCGTGCGCGATGGGATCGCACCAGGTACCGAGCTCAGCCCGGGCCTTCCGGGACCCGCGGGCCCGTTACCACCGCCCGGGGGGAAGGGGGGGACGGGACGGGACACGACACAGGGCAGCCCCGGGGCCGGATGAGCGCCCGTCCCGAGGCTTTCTCGGTGCGGCGGGGGGGGGGGGCCGTCAGTGCTGACGAGGCTTTGCCACCACCACATCCCCCGGGGCCATCTGGTGTCTGCCGAAAGAGACCGGGATCTTATGTAACGTGCTCGGGGGGTGGGCGCTGAGCAGCGGCTCCGGTTTGCACGGGGCAGGAGCCCCTCGGTGCTTTGTGCCCCCCCCCCCCCCCGTTTGAAACTCCGGCTTCAAGTCGGTGGTAACTCCCGGCGCGATGAGGAATGGTCGCGTTTGGTCCCTCCCGTTGCTGTCCCCCGCTTCCCTTTAAGCCGTGGGGAAAGTTCGGAGGTGCAGCGTGGGGAAGGAGCTGGGTGGAAGCGCTGGTTCCCAGCGCTGGGTGCAGGAGCGGCGGCTCCTCGGCGCCTCTGGTGTTTTGAGCTCCCTTTTGAGGGGGGTTTCGTTGCTGTCTGTGCGAACCGGCGGCTGCCCTCGACTTGTGTGCGTGCCGAGGGAGCTGCTCCTGCAGAGGCAGCCCCAGCGCTGGGGCTCAGCCTGCAGCTCCTGCTCAGCGGAGATAATGGTCTCCGGTTTGCTCGGCAGTCTGAACGTGGTTGTGCGCTCCTGAAATCACGGCCGATTTGTCACCGCGCAGCTCAGGTCCGCGCTTGGAGCGGTGGCAGAGGAGCTGCTCTCGGAGCCTGAGCTGGGGAGGTGCGCTCCTGCCTTTTCTCCTCCCATTTGCTGTCACATCGAGACAGCTTCTTTCAAGTCACGCTTTAGAGGAAGACTCAGACATGGCTGTGGGTAACAACAGCAACTTGAAATGCTGAATTTACATATAGGAACGCGTGTGGGAACGATCAGGCTCCAAGCACCTTGTGATCACTGGGAGGAGGAAACTTCCCATGGTGGCTGTGCCAGCACAGCTTGCTTCAGGGTTCGGTGTGCTCAGAAATAGGCTGCTGGGATGGAAGGGTTTGTCCTCACTTGCTCAGAGATTCTAATTAGCGCTCCTCAGGGTGGAGAGGTGCGAGAGACGGGGACAAAAGGTTGGATGTGGCCGTGTGAGTAATGTGTGTGATGAGCTGAAGCTGTGGAATGCGCGCAGTGGCTTTGCAAAGAGCGTCCTTGTGGAATCAGAGCCTCTTGCAGGCAGAGAAACCTTTTCCAAAGGGCCCGGGCACTTCGCAGCGGCTCTCGGAGGTGAGAAAGGTTTTACTGCTCCCCCAGTAATTTCTTGTCAAAGGGGAAGTTAATTTACGAGTAAATCACTGGATTGAACTCCTTCCCGTGGGGCTGGATGGTTTGCAGAGGGAGAAGGGAATGAGGGAGGGGGGCTCTGGCTGTGCTCTGCTCCCCTCTGCAGGGGGGTCCGTTTCTCCATGGGGGAGGCTCTCGGGAAGATTCCCCAACGTTTCCCTCTGCAGATTTGGAGTGGGGAAGTGGGGGAGCCTCTCCCTCACAGAGCCAGCGGGCAGCGCTGGGAGGTGTTCTTGAGCACGCTGCGTTTGTCCTTCTCCTGCTGTGTTTCTCGCAGCCTGGCTTTTTCTTGTACTCCAGAGTTCGGGGTGAGTCATGTTTCTGCCTGCCTGAGCCCCAGCCTTCCTGATGGCACACGGGCTTGGCCAAACACAACTTGCCTTGAAGCTGAGCCTGGTGGGAGTGAGGCGGGATGCGGAGGAGTCCTTCCAGCAGGAGCATCCTGGCAAGGCTGGGATGGAGCAGAGTGCTCCCGGGGCCCCTGGCCTCCCATCCTGTTGCCTGTTTCTCTGCAAGTTCACCCTTTCTGTTTTCCCTCTGCTCTGTGCTCTGTGATGTGCAGCCTTCAAGCAGGAGCGGTGCTGCTCCGTGGAGAAGCATCCCGCAGCGGTGCCCTGGTGTAAGGGCAGAGATTGTCCCCGGGGGATGCCTGGGATGTGGCATTCATTCTGCTGTGAAGTGGAGCGGGACCCTTGCGTGGTGCAGAGGTTGAATCTGCTCCAGCCAAGTGTGAGAAACGGGAGGGGGCCCATGCGGGTCAGGGCCCCGTCGCTCCTGGAAGGGCATTTTGGGCTTCCAGGGGCAGCATCCCCCAGGCAGAATGATTTGGCCTCACTTTGGCACTGCTCCCAGCGTGCTGCCCACGTCCCCCATGTGAACCGTCCCTTTGGGCCTCAGTTTCCCCAGCCTTTAGGTTGTCACCTCCTAAGATGCATGGAGTGGTGCTGTTTGTCCAGGAGGGCACTGCGAGAAGCAGGGGCTCTCCCTGTACCCTAGCAAGGGGCCCCTGACAGTGCATCCTCCTCCAGCACTGCTCTCATGTTTTCTGCCCCCATCCCAACTCCTGTGGCCTTCCCGAAGGCACAGCGAGATGCTGAAGGCCGTCAGTGCTGAGCAAAACAAGAAGTAATGCAGCGTAATAGAGTCCAGATGTCCTGGAGAAGCTTCATCCCGTCCTCCTGGTGGTTTGCCAGGGCTAATATTTCTCATTCAAGTCAGGCAGGAGCAAGACTTTGCCTTTTTCCTGTAAAGCCACAGCTCTGTTCCCGGAGATCTCCCTCTGCTTTTGTCCCTCCCTGAAGGAATTGTCCTCTCAAGTCACTGCTCCGCCGTGCAGCTGCTTCAGGGGTAGTTTCCGTGCTACCAGGGGCTTCCCTTTATTTCCTATTTAATCACCAGCTTCAGGGCTGTTCATCAGAGAGAAACTTGGCCCGTTACGGCCGTGGGTGGAGGATGAGGCACACGGATTCAGCTCAGCCTGCTTTGCAGCCGGGCTTGCTTCACTGTGTGCAGCTGATGGGGTTTTCATCCCTGCTGGGACCAGGCGCTTGCAATAGGGGAGCAATGCTGAGCCTCAGGAGGTAAACAGCTCGTTGTGGTGTGTTCAGCAAACGGGGATGGGAGCAGCAAACGCTGCCGAGAGGCGCGGGATGCGGGGAGAGCATTTCCTTGTTGGGATCTTAGGGAGCACTGGGAAGGGAGATGTGTCCCTGGTGGGCTCCGAGCAGGCCCCATTGCCGGGATGTCACTGGCTGACACCCACTGTGTGAGTGCTGGGGGGAGGCTGAGGAGCCAGATAACAGGACTTAGAAGAGCAGCAGTGCTTTGGTTTGGAAGAGGCACAGCACCGAGGGCCGTGCCTGCGTGTGGTGCAGAGGTAACCCCGGGGTGGGTTTATCTTGTGCAGTTCCTTACTCCACGTTTAACCCACGCAGTGGCTCTGAGTCTGGCTCCTCTGCGCTGCAGAGCTGGCCCAGGGGCCCCTTCTGGTGAAGGTGGCCAAAGGATTGGGGAGTTTGGAGTGGTGGTGGGAGAGGCTCTGCTCAGGGGGTCGTGGGGATGCCTTGGGTGAATGGGGCAGGCTGGATCCAGCCTGAGGGTGTGGAGGAGGTTTAACACCCAGAATTGCCCACACAGCTCCAGGCTTCACGAGTGTGTGTACAGGAGGGAGGGTTCAGCAGATCCTGGGCCCTTTTTCTCCCTCTGCAGCCCAGGTAGGAGGATGTCAAAGGCATTTCCTTGCAGAGGATAAACTGGTTGATGCTTGGAAGGCCCTTTGCTGGCGACTGGGATGCAGCAGCGTGTGGCTACGTGGCTGTGTCTGGGACTCCCTTGGATGCCATTGCTGATCTCTGTTATCTCTCATCAGCTTGTCATCCCACTTGTCCTGATGGGAACGTTGGAAGGACCCCAGGAGTGCTGGCGTGAGCAAAGCTCTGTGCCACTCCTCCTGGGAGCCAGCTCTGCTCCGTGCCGCTTCAGATCCCCCCTCCTTGTCCCTGTGGTGTGGGTTTAGAAATCAGATTGTCTGGGCTTTTGTGGGGAGAGGCCGGGCCCGTGGAGGAGGAAAAACAACTTCCTTCAGCTCGCAGGGTCTTTAGGATCTAATGACCACAAGTATTTGAAGCACGCAGGATTTGTACCGAAGGGAATGGCAAGCACAGAGGAAAACTGTGTGTGGCTGCCGTGCGGCTGGGGTGAAAGATGCTATTCATATCGGGTCAGGCTCCTGAACTTTGGTCAGGCTTTTTTATACTTCATGGTTAGAGCTTAAGAGCTTTGAAAACAAGAGGAGGGAAGTGGTCTCTGGGAAGTGGTGCTCACATCTGCACGCTCCAGCCTCATTTGTACTCGCTTGGGAGATGTAGAAAGGAACCCCGTTGGGTTCCGTGCCCCTTTCTCCCACGTTGGGAGCTGCAGTCGCTTCTAAAAGGAACAGGTAAAACCAGGTCATTGCATTAACAGGGGAAT